CAACATAACAAGCCATTCTCAGCCCTAAATTATTATTTCAAGAATGATCAACTCACAGACAATGCCCTTCCAGCTAGTAGGAAAAGAAATGAGAAGTAACCAACGGATGCACCAACAAAAGCCTTGTCTGGAACAAACCAAAAATCCAATCAAGCATTACGAAGCATGCAAATTGATATTGGTCATTATCCGAGGAGTCATATGGTGATCTGTGAATCATATCATCACGAGTGATATATAAGAAAGTGATCTTACCTTGAAACCATCCAACAAGAAAGGCCGCCAAAGCCACAAGAAACGCTAGAAAACAAACAACTAGCATCTGAACCCTTTTCAGATAGTTTGAGGCCCAATAATGAATCGCACCGATAGCTAGAACTAGAAGGAGGAGAACTAAGAGAAATGTTGCTCCTATCTGTCATAATATGAAGTGAAACTCCTTAGAGATAAACAATAATAAGAGATAAATTAACCAATAGTATTGACTTACACTCCAAGGATGCACTGTAACTATGATGGCCGAAATGGCACCAAGCTGAAGAAGACCAATAATAATGAATATATAGGCACCTCGATAAAGCTTCCAGTTATCATCTTTCCTGATAATATTTACATTAGAGTTACTCTAAATGAGGAGCAGCTCACATCTTACAATTCAAGTGCAATGGTTTAGAAGTGTGAAATGAATCCAAATAAGCTTGTTAAAGATCAGTTGGTTCTGGCAAACAACATTACCATTTAAATAAACCAGAAGAAAGTGAAAGGACTGCAAAAATGCATAACAGTGGAAGCAATGCAGCCAAGAAGTCTTCCTTCATCAGGACTTGATCAACCCTCAAACTCACAACTTTCAAATACGAGACACTACAAAATGCCACAAGAACAGCTACAAACAGATAGAGTAGAAAGAGTGTCAATCGGCATTAGTGCTGCAGGTGAACAAATGTCAAAGAAAATAACTTGAACACTTCTTTAAAGTGAGAAGGAATCAATTACCTGCAAATATACCAATAGAAATACCAGATGAGAGGGGAAACCGATATGTTACAAACCATGATATGATGGGCAGCAAGCCACTAGCTAATAAAGCAATTGCAGATGCCACTGCCCAACCAAGGTAAACAGATGATGCATAAGGAGAGGTAACAACATTCTGATCAACAGTCAACCCCTTGTACCCTAAATCATCTAATGGTTTTGC